CTCACAAGCTTCTCACTTATCTTCTCATTTCAACATATTCTTACTCATGCCACATATATTTCACTAGTATGCAAAACTAAATATTTAATTACTTTTTTTTTTTTTGGTTGTAAAACGAATTGATTTTACCACGAATACAATTGTCATTGTTTTTCTTTGGTATCGTTCACTTAGTCCAACTGACTTGATAGGAAGCAATTAATGGAGTTTCCATTACATTCTGTAAAGCTCAAGACTTTGTTTCATGCCCCTACCCGAAGCACAAGTTCAAATATTGTTTGCAGTCGACAATGTTAAAAGCATATTCAAGCTGGACACATCATAAGAAAATAGCTCACCATTCAAAGTTTGCACACTAGTACCTACTTGAAAAAAGTAAAACGATACCGGGTTGACTTGGCTGCTGTGTATTGACTCGATGAATCTATCATACAGTTTCGTTCTCTTAATTACTTAGAAATCAAGAACTCATGATCATTTTAATTTAATGTTTAGATTAAAACAATAAAGTTACATTAATTTCTTCTTCATAGTAGCTATCAAAGTTAAGAATGAGTGGTCATGCATTTCTGAACACATGGTAATGTTTTGCAACCTCTTAAATATGGACCCAACTGAATTACTTATAATCTATATTTTCCTTTTATTTTTAAATATATTCTGGAGGACAAGTTTTTATAATTCAATAATGTATAACATATATATGGTTGTTTCAAAGGTATTGTCACATAGTAGTACAAATTATGGCAGACACTGAACTATTCAAAATTTTGCTTTACTTGATCTAAGGGGTTGAACGTTCGTCGTACCCACCACCTGCTACTGAAACTACGGATAAGGTCAATCAATTCAACCGCTATTGAGTGTGTTGATCCGATCTTGATTCTTTTAAACTTTAATTTGGTTCACATAATTCCACCAAATTAATGATAAAACCATATACTATCTTAAATCATTTTAAAATTGACAACACTGTTCCAATTTAATATGATATAATCGATCCATTGTGCATTATTAAACCGAGTAAAACGGCAGGTTTGGTTGTGCTTTCACATTAGCAAATTGAGTAAAACAGAAGAGTTTTGATTCCTTTTTAAACCAAGAGTCGAATTTGTGGTTTAGGGTAGGCATGTATATTCTTAATGTTAAATGAGATTCTTGCTAAATGGTAAGTTGCTTTGGTAGCTGTAGTTAAGACCCTAATGTGTAGTCTGACTCGCCAAATTCTTTATAAGTTTTCTCACATTCGATTTTGATACTTTTTTTTTAAACAACGTAGATCTAAAAAAAAAAAAAATGTTAAAAGAGATTTTAAATTCAAACTTCACTTTGATATTGATAATAAAAAATAAAAAATAAAAAAAGCAAATCGAATTATCTACTGATTACATCTCTCACACGAGTTGAATTCTCTGAAATAAACAATCATAATACAAATCATGATCTCTATTTAAAGATGCCATCCATCTCATGTTAAGAGGTAAAAGAAACTAAAAAGTAATTATATATTTGGGGAGAGAGAGATTATGATATTGCCGTGCAGGGTTGTAATACCTTAATACACAGACGCACGATGATAACAGGAGATCGAGAGAGAGCTTAGCCGACCCTACTTTGTGTTTGTGGGACCTTGAAGCAAAGACAAATTGCGTGATGCCATTCCAAGCACTCTCTTTCACAATTCACAATACCTCTCTTGCTTGTTGCTTCCTTCCCTTTCCTTTTTTTGGTGGCTTCTCTCTTTCTTTATCACCTCTCCATTAATTAAAGTTAAAAATCCTTCTTGGTTTTGGGGAAGATCACCACCAATATCAACTTAAACTTTCTTGTAACATCCACTCTATTTTACGTTTCCTTTCTTTTCAAATTGTATTGCCGTTGTACTATTTCCTTAGACCTTCCACAAGGTGATTCATATATATATATATATATGGGGCATTTTGGGTTTGATTCACATATCACAATTGTTACGAAAGAGTGAGTTTGATAAAGGTGAATTATGTATATAAAGCTAGTTTAAGTTTCACCATAAAACTAATTGATAATATGGGAGTATAACAACATACTACTTATAAGCACATGCAAGATCTCTTCTTTCCAAACATGGAATTCATACTTTCAACTCGAATGTTAGTAGGAATGCTTGTAATTTGTATCAAACTAATTGGTATCAAACTCACTTTTAAGTTCCACCATAAACTAATTGGTATCAAACTCACTTTTCCAACCTATTGTGAATATATATTAGTACTCGTATGTTAGTAGGCATGCATGTAATTTGTATTGCCCAAATACCCTTTATAGTAGCAATGTATTTTTCCACTCCAATAATTGTTTTCTTTATGATGAGGAGCTGTTATTGACACATCAAAAAAATAAAATTGTTACTATACAAAATATAATAAGTGTAGCATTAATTAAAAAACCATTCTACATCTAAAATTCATTTAATTAAACTACCAAGAAAACGATGATTATGAAATTCTCCAATTGAAAAATAAAATGGATAATTATTTTCATGCCTATATAAATGTATAGTTTACTCAAACTTTCTCCAATGTTATTTGTTTTTTTAATCCAAGTGCATTGAACCCTAGACCATCTTATTCTAGCAAAAGTCATTCGCTCATTGCCATGTTTGCTTCACTCACTATTCACGAGAAATTAGTGTGCCGCACAAAAATATTTCCTATGATCACAGATTCACAATGATAAATTATATTTTCTTGCACTAAAGAAAATGATTATTAAGGTTGTTGAGAATCAATCTTATATTGATGGGAGGAGGAACATTATATGGACTTATAAGTAAATTGAGCTACTTCCCCATATTATCAATTGGTTTTACAGTGTAACCTCAACTTTCTCGATGATATTAAAGCAGGTTGTCCTACATATGAAGCCCAACAACCACACGTGTTCTAGTAACTCAGTTTGTGTTGTCCATGTGTTAGGCCATGTTAGGCTTGAAAATTCGTCACACGTGTTAGCCTAGAAAATTTGCCACATGTGTTAGGCAGTGTTGGGAATGAATCCCCATACTGATGGAAGGAAGGATCTTGCATGAGCTTATAAGTAAGTTGAGTTATTCCCTGTATTACCAATTGGTTTTATGATAAAACCTCAACTTTCTTCAAAAATGAAATTGTAACGTAATATTAAAATAATATTTGGGCCTTATATGTGTATTTTTCTTTTCAAAATTTTAATTAATTATAAACTAATTTGTACTAAGGGGAGGGATAAGGGTTTGAACTTTGAACCTAGAACGTCACAGATTAAAAAGAAAATTTTAACCACCAAAGCAATTCATCACTACCTTTAAAAGCTATAATTCACCGAATTACTAATTTGACATAAGAGAAGACGTGCTCTATAGGCTACACAATTTAGTGTGAGGTTATCTTCTGCTATTACCCAAACCTTTAAAAAAACCAGAAAGAAAAAAAAATTCTAAAAATCAAAGGGATCTCATGAATTACTTAATTAAGGTTAATGTGGTTTATTCAAAGGGATCTCATGAATTAATTAAATTAAGGTTAATGGTTTAGGTTGAAGATTTATTGAGATGCATTTGTCTACACACAAAGGACTCTAAATAAAACCGTAACAAGTATCAATATTCAACACAAATAGGCGTCGAGCTCGATTTCAATTGATCAAACATTTGGACCGGTTCAAACCAAATTGATCAAGTTCTAAATTAGTTATGCCGCTAATTTAGTTATTACTTTTTGAATAAGAAAACAAAGAAAATAGTTGAATTTTCAATTTTTAATTCATATTAGTACATATTTATTGAGAGCTGGTCATACGTTCGAGACTTTCTTTTCGTAGACTAAAAATACTCGAACTTACGTACTAATGGGACCAAACAGAGGGCTCAACTCAAATCGTATAAATTAGAGACTTCATTCCCAATTTCTTCTTTTATTTAGTTGTAAATTAACGGTTAAAACTTAAGGGTCGTATATATACATGAAATGTCATTCAAACAATAATAAGAAAGTCTTGTGAAAATGAAAAAAAAAAAAAAAAGAGAAAACCAACAAACATGCAATTAGTAGCAAGTATTATTATTTGTGTCATCTTTTCTTTTTGAAAAAAAAATGATATTTTTACCACATTTTTCTTATCATATTAGTACAAATGTGGTCGAAAAAATGTGATAAGTGATACACTACTTGTGTTTAAACCTTCTCAACCAAAAACTCTTTTTTTTTTTTTTTTTTGAAAGAAATAGATTTTTGTTAAAAGCATTGGTTATGCAAAACAATAAAACAAAAACAAAAAATAAAAGAACTAGAGAAAGCTGGCGAGAGATGCATGGGCCATATATAAACAATTCCAGCGGCAGCGGTAGCGGCAGAGAGACCTGCACGCTCAACAACATCAACAACAACAACTACATCTCTACATCATCACCTCTTTCCCTTCAATTTTCTCTCTTATTTTTTATTTTTTTTATTTTTTTATTTTTGTAAAAGGAAGTAAAATTGAATGATAGAGAAAGGGTAATTTATTTTTTACCAAAAAAAAAAAAAAGGGGTAGGGGTTTGGGTTTGATTTTGGTGTTATTTAATTAATGGTGGTGGTGATGTTGGTATTGGAAATAACAAGCACGAGACTCCCTCTCAAGAAAAGCCAAACCCCACGCGAAGAAGAAGAGAAGCAAAGCAAAAAAAAGGAGAGGCCAAACCAAAACCAAGACCAAAGAAAGAGTACAATAAGGTGTGTGTGTCTCTCTCTCTCTCTCTTCTCTCTTCTCTCTCCTCTCTTGGACTGATTCGTTTCCATCGCATCTCTCTCTTGAATTCCAAGCTCTCTCCTATTCTCCCTCTCTCTTTCTATATTAACAAAACAAAGCTATATGGCATCATCTTAGCAAGCAAAACAAGGAAGGCCAACAACAACAAAGAAAGAGAGAAAGAAAGAAAAGTAGGTGAAAACAAAGTTCCCCTCTCGAGTAAATAAGAAACAGATGGGAAGAAGGGTAAGAGATTGATTTCGATGCTCAACAACAAGGTGGACGTGGACGTGGACGTGGCGGCGGTGCTCGATAAGGTGGAGGTGGTTCTGGTGGTGCTGGTGGTGGTGCCCTCTCAATTCTCATAATTATTTCTTGCTCCTTGTTTTTCTTTTTCTTTTAGGGAGTGAGGCATCTTTCATGCTTGTTATGTGGTAGCGTTTATTGTTCTTCTTCCCCCATTCCCCTCCTCAATAACTTCCCTCTCCCATCTTTTGGACTTTTTACCAATTGCCAATACCAAACCTCTCTCTCCACCTCTCTCAATCTCTCAATCTCTCTCTCCCTCTCCCTCTCCCTCCCTCCTCCCATTCATTGGTTTTTCCTATACATAATACTGCATTCATTTATTCTTATCACAATCTTCTCTTTTATATCTTCATCTTCATCATCAATCACCAAACTACAATCTAGAATCTTGAATGGCAGTTCAAGCTCAATACCCTTCCAATATCCTCTTGTTTAATAGGTTTGCATTCTCTCCTCTCCTTCCTCCTTTTTTTTTTTGATTTTTTTTTATATCATATCTTCAATCAACATGTGATTCTTATCTAATGATCCCTGCTATGATTTCCACTGCGTAATTCTGCAGAAACTCACAAGAAGGGCGTGATCATTCATTACAACCACACCCAGGAGGATATCTTGATCAATCCCACATGCTTTTCAACAATGGAGGAGGTAACAAAATCATATCTTCTTTTGTGCCATTCACTGTGATTCATTCAATAAATTCAAGTGTTGCTTTTTTAAAATTAAATAATAAAAAAAACAAGTTTTAAATTGGGTCTGTTTGTTCAATTCGATCACACCAGGCAACACCAGTCAGCAGCGCAAAAGAGGAAGAGAAACTTCAGCAGCGACCACTGAAGATATCACTCCTCCAATCACTCCCTTCTCTTTGCAACAACAACAACAATCCCAACCTCCTCAGCTCATCGACCTCTCTCAGCTCCACAACCACCTCCACCTCCAAAATCCCAATGTCGTCTCCACCGGCCTCCGCCTATCCTTCGGAGACCAGCAACAACCACAGCAATTCCAACAGCATCACAATCAACAACACCACCACTCTTCAGCCCTCTTCTCTGCATTAACAGAGGACTTTGCCACCCATATCAAACACCAGCGCGACGAATTAGACCAATTCCTTCAAGCCCAGGTACTACTTTTTCCTCTTCTCAAATGGCTTCCTCGAATTCTTCAATTTCATCGGGAAAAAAGAGTCAATTGAATTCAACTTCATGATTTTGTAATTTTATAGGGAGAGCAGTTGCGGCGCACGTTAGCAGAGAAAAGGCAGAGGCACTACCGTGCGCTGCTAAACGCAGCGGAGGAATCAGTAGCTCGTAGACTGAGAGAGAAAGAGGTAGAGGTTCAGAAAGCCACGCGCAGAAATTCCGAGTTGGAAGCAAGGGCAGCCCAACTTAGCGTTGAGGCCCAATTTTGGCAGGCCAAGGCCCGAGCCCAACAGGCCACTGCCGCGTCTCTACAGGCCCAACTACAGCAGGCTATGATCAGCGGAGGGTTTGCGGCGGCCCAGGATAGCAGGAGAGGGGAGGAGGGAGTAGTGTGCGCAGCGGGCGTAGGAGGGCCGGGCTGAGGATGCCGAGTCGGCCTACATTGACCCGGAACGGGTGACCGTGTTGGGTCCGAGTTGTAAAGCGTGTCGGAAACGAGTTGCCTCGGTTGTTTTGTTACCGTGCCGGCATTTGAGCCTGTGTACAGAATGTGACCAAGTGGTTCAGGCCTGCCCATTGTGCCTAACCTTGAGAAATTCGAGTGTGGAAGTCTATCTTTCTTAGGGCTCAGGCCCAAGCCCAATGCCAGAAGCAAAGGCCCAGAAAAGATGGCAGACTTGCATGTGAGCAATGATATTAAAATAAAATAAAATAAAAAAAAAAATAAAAAAGAGGAACCAAATATTATTGGCTAAATTTTTTTTTTTTTTTTTTAACTTTTGTTTTTGGAAAATAATTTGATATTGCCTCTCAATATTTTCATGTTTTAATTTTGGATTCCCCCCTCTTGGAGTGAATTACCTTAGAGGTTTTGTACATGGCCACATGGGTAGTGGCATTTTTTTTTTTTTTTGGTGAATTATATTCATATACACAATTCTTTTATTTAACATATATTCTTTGCCTTCTTTTATTTTTCTTATAATTGTTTTATTTATTATAAAATGGTGATGTTAATTAATATAGCATGCTCACCATTTAAAAGGGGACAAAAACAAGAGTTTGAAATTTGAAATTTGAAATTAGGTTTTGGATACATGAAGAAAGCAGTAAGAGGTGTATTCTACTTGTAGTGTGCATGAGGTATGTCTTGTGTGTTGGTATCTTCATTACATTACATTCACTCTCAATTTACTTACTTTAGACCATTAATTAAATAAATAAATAAAAATATTGTGTTATGAAAGATTTATGTGAAAATTCTTAATTTGTTGTTAAATGGAAATCATATTGCAAGTGATCAATTGTCGTAGTGGTTAGGACATTTCTCTTTTAACTCATTGCCAGAAAGGCTTGTGGGGTTTGATTTTTGAAATTTAAAGTGGAGAGAATTTCGGAAGATGGGGTGATCATGAGTGACATAAGTTTGAGTGTGGTGCTAGCAACACCACCCTATGTGCCCTGCCTTAGAGAGAAAATGCAGTGATATTTCTCCAATTCTCCGAACGAAACCCTAAAGAGGCTAGAGTTATATCACCATTTATATAGTTCATTCCTTTAAGTGACTAAAAGAGAAAACCTATCAGTCTCTCAATATAGGGACGGCCCCACTAGCATTTGTGCTAGTGGGCCTTTTGGGCTTTTATCTTTAAGTTAAACCATTAGACTTGTTGGGTTTGATGGATCAAGGCCCATTGTTCATTTAACTTTGTTGTAGTTCTCTAATCTCTCCCTTAAGTTCTAATTAGCAAGGCAGTAAGAGATATGAACTCTTACAAAACGATTGTGAATTGAAACTAATTTTCAATTCTCACTTTAATGAATATCAGGTCTTGCACAAGCCATAATTGACACCTAGTAGCTTATCAAAGCAACTCCACCCCAATAATATACCCTGGGCTATAGGCAACCCAATCCCCCAACCCCCCAAAAAATGCTACAGCCTTACCCAGTCAACTGGGCCAACACAGCACCTAAGCCCGAATCGCCTCGCCTAGTGACTGGAGGGGAATGACATCTGCGTGGCGTTAGTCATGTTCTGGATTTTTTTTTTTTTTTTTTTTTTTTTTTTTGCGCTAGCGCATGAATTACATGCCGGAGAAATAGCACGTCGACCCACAAGAATTCATGGCTGAGGCCCACGTGCAGGCGCACTATGTTCAGATTTTGGAGCGACTTGGCTCTTCCTGAGCAGTTGGTTTTCAAACAACTATATTTATGTGCAGTTGGATTTTCAACAATTAAAAAAATTGAAATCCAAATCCAATGACTAGATGATGTGTCAACTTCTAAACCGTTGGATTTTCCAATCAACGGTCCAAATTTACAAAAAAATAATTAATTAATAAACTAACCATTTAAGTGTCCATTCATTAGGTTTTTTTTTTTTTTTTTTTTTTTTTTTTGTGCTAAAATTATAGAATTCATTGCGCTATAATCGATAGAAAGGTTTACAAAATAGGGACTACAAAAAACCCCCAATTACCACAAAAAATTAAAAATAAAATAATAATAATAATAATAATAATAGTAACCATACGTTCTAAAAAAAGAGTTCCTACACCATAAACAATCAACAAAAAGATTTTTTTTTTAAAGAATAAAGAATTCATTTCAATATACAGAAGAGAAAAGTTCCCTTTTTTATTGAAATTAATTATGAAAGTAGAGAGTGCATCACAGCATGGGTACGAACTCTGTCAACTTCTTAATCTAACAAATATATTATTTTATAAAAAAAAAATTATGAAAGTAGAGAGTGCATCGCAGCATGGATACGAACTCTGTCAACTTCTTAATCTAACAAATATATTATTTTACAAAAAAAAATTATGAAAGTAGAGAGTGGTTAATTCTGTGCTGATGGATGGGAGAGATGCTAATAAATTAGGGAGTTTTAACGAAACACTCTCTGTACTGTTCACTTTTAACGAAAATGACATTTTTATTTTAAAAAGTCACTTTTGATACTATTCACTTACAACACATTTTTATCATTTTGATTAAATTTCAACGTTTTCAAACTTTTTTCATTAGTTTTTCTAATAAATTAACCTAGTGAAATGGTGAGTTTACTATTCACTTGGTTTAATTATTTTTCCTTTCATAAAATGCTTAATTAAATGTAGAAGGTGACTATAATTAGTTAAAAAGACACGACACGTGTGGCACAAATTTCAAGGAGGGTGGCAGTGTAATGAGACATCAAAATTAAGGAGATGAGCAAAAACGAACTCAAGATCCTAACGATTTTTCGGGACATAGGTTATGTATATATTTGCGAAGAAATATACACTCGCGCCTAGTAATGAACTAAATAAAAAATAAAATGTCATCTCATATGGTACCATGGTAAGAATTAGTTAGATTTTTTTTTAATTTTTTTTTTTTTTTTTTTTTTACAAACAATAACGTTAGTAGGTTAAATTGTTAGTTGTTGAGAGCGAGGGAGATCAGTGGGGATCGATTCTGCACCATGGTGCATAAGCATGATTGCATTCTACTATTGCGGTAAAACGCCACTTGTAAGGATTAATTTGTTATCAATGTGAAGTGGGATACTTCCTATGTTACAAATAAATAAAAAATAAAAATATTTCACAAAAAAAAAGGAAAGAAAGAAAAGAGTTATTGAGTTAGGCCCTTGGGGACCTGTAAAGGTTGATGCCCATTTGTTCAGTGCTGTGCAAGTCACTGTCTCAAGAAATGATTGCCTCGGTTTGAGTTGGGCCTTTGACTAACGCAATCATGCTTTGAGTCCATATGAGTACTGCTAACCCAACTAATTTTTCTTAAATAATTATACAAATATTCGTACAAATATCCAAACAATGCTGCAAAGATACATATATCGGTTTGTTTAATTTATCTCTTCCCTTCTTTTTCCCCTCTATTTTTTGCAACCTCTTCTCCCTACATATCAATTGCTTACCACGTCTTGCATCTCATTGATTACAATTGTTTGGTGATATGTCTGTCATGTAAATTAAGTGGGTAAAAAGCAAAAGCAAAAGGAGAAGAACAAATTACTTACTGTAACACGAACTATACTCCTCAGTGGATTTGAAGGCTGGTAGCAAATTAGGTGATGACAAGATTGATTGTGATTTAGCTTTTTGGTCAATTTTGAGTTTGAATTTTTGGTTAAATCTGCAAACCAAGTAGTCAACAAATAACCATATTGGTTTAGAGTGGGGTAGGTATAATCCCTGGTGATTAAAAACACACATGACATTCATAATTTATTGGATCTAATTTGTTATGTAGGGATTGTGATAATTCAGTTTTAGTTCCAACTACAAGATTTCAAACGTATGAGGTTATCCACTACACTGACATGTTGTCCTCAACATCTTACTCTAAAATTTAAAGAGATGTAGTTTTATCGGACATAAGTAATGTGTTCGTCGAACATGGGTATGTCTATGGGAATTGGGGAAAGATCTCAAGTAGAATGATTGGTTTCGTGCAAAATTAATCAACGAATAAATTAGTTAAACTAATATTATTATTATAGGTGATTTAAACTAATTAATGCTAGAATATTTCCATTATTCAAACTAATGATTTCATGTGCAAATGATTCTTTATTATAGTGAGAAAAATATTTATGTTTATGCATTCGTATTCGTATTCGATACTAATCATTTTCTTCTCCTTCTAATAACTAACTATACAACTCACTAACTTTTGTCAAAGAAGAAATTAATAATTTCACGTCATTGTTTTTTAATCAATAAACAATATTAAATCATTCATTTTTAATACACATTACCAATCAATGTCTACGAGTTAATAAATTAATTTTGTTCTCCACCGCTTATGGAATATTTCATTAAGAAGTTTAGGTCTTCAATGATTGAAGGTAGAGCAACATGACTATCATAGCCAGTACATCAAAACATGAGAGATTCAACAAAAATGAAAATAATTCGTCGAAAGAAATTAAATACTGAAAGGGATTTTTTTTAGTAGAACAATAGCATTAATGAGTTTAATAGTTAGTTGTTAGAGAGAAATGAATCGGTAAATATCGAACCTATATCAAGACCATAAAAATAATTATATTTTGTCATTGCAATAAAACGCCATTTGTGTGAAAGGGATATATTAGATACTCGGATAATCAACCATTGAAATTTGAAACCATGTCCCCATATACAAGTTGTTGATCTTGGTGGACCACTTATACAACATCCAAGAAATTGATGGGCGGTTCACATTAATATTCCCCCTTTAAAAGCCAAGAACAATGTCTCAAAATAACAAAGTCCGTGCAGCATCTTAACAATTATTTTCAAATATTGTCTTTGTCAAACAACGCTGAGAAAAGTACTAGGCCCCGTGTAGTCTTGATCTTTTCACCAAAAATTGTTTCATTTCAAAGTAGAAAATAAAAAGATTTTTTTATATTAGCATCCCACAAAATATTGAAAGTGCCTCGTATTAAAATTTAATATTAAATAACTTATTTATCTTACTATGCAATGATAATTTTGACATTATTATGTTTTTTTTTAAATCTAAATAAACCCCAATTAAATCACTTTTAGGGTATTATTTATTTTCTCAACTATCAAAAACCCTCACACCCTCCATTATTGAACAAAACTCTAACCAATGAAACTACAAACATTTTGATTGAGAAAAATTATTTTTGACGAATGGAACACAAAATCGATGTTTTGGAAGCTTCACATGAAATAAGACTTTATATTTTTCATTGTTTTAATGATTTCGATGACATCGATAATTATTTAATCTTGCGTTTGTTGCGTTATAACTTCTATATTCATTTTCATTTGTGAGTCATAGAACGATAAGCAATCAGATTTGAACCTAGAACACGAACTGAACTCAATAGTTGTACAAAATAACAATCAAATCGGAAACTCACCATTCGGCAGCTGATTGGGATCATACTCGTAAACATCAATCTCTTTTATAAGATCATCGGTAGGCATTGCGA